TGCGGTTGTTGATTGTAATTTTGATTGTAGTTTCCCTTGATGCTGTACCTGTCCGTATTGCTGCTGTTGCGTCTGAAGAGTGCTGATTCCTTGTTGCTGGGCAGCCAATGGATTGGCGTTAAGATTGAACAAATTGAATGGATCCAATGCGGCGTTGGTTTGTTGAAGGAATGGTTGGAATGGATTGAAAGCGGCTGGCTGTTGAGCCTGTGCTCCTGAGGTTGCTGTAGCTCCGAAGAGGTTTTGTTGTTGAGGAGCTTGTGGAAGTTGGAATGGGTTTGGTTGGTTGAAAATGTTATCGACTTGTTGTCCGTATCCTTGTTGTTGGGCTTGTGGGAGTCCAAATCCTTGCTGTTGTTGTGTGAACTGTGGAGCTTGTTGAGCTGGTTGTTGTGGATAGGCGATTTGTCCGTTTTGGTATTCTGGGAGTGGCTGGGCCAAATCGGCTGGCTGACGGCTCAACATTGGGTCAAAGGAGGCTACCTTTGGTGGCTCAACAAGTGGTGCGAGTGTGGCAGTTTGAACTTGGTTTTGTGGGTATGGAATTTGGTTTCCTTGGTATACAGGAGCAGCAAATTGAACTGGTTGAGCATGTGGTTGGAGTGGAATGTTAAGAAGTGGTTGTTGTTGTTGTTGATGTTGTTGTTGAGGCTGTTGAGTTTGAACCTGTGGCTGGAATTGTTGTTGTTGCTGCTGGAAGTTTTGATGTTGTGGTTGTTGTGGCACCTGGAACCGATGTCAAGGATCGTAATGTAATAGGAGGTACATATGTTATTATTATTATCTTCCAAAAAACTCCTACCTGAGGTCTCTGAATCTGTGGTCCTCCCTCGTTTGAGATCTGGCGAGTGTTCACGGATTGGGCGAACTGCGGCTGGTTGTTGAATGCTGGTGGCGGTTGTGGTGGTCGCTGAACGTTTGTCACTGGCTGAAAATCTTGATCTTCGAAAACATATTACAGCTATAATGTGAATTCTGATCCAATAGAATCCACTGTAAGGTTTTTGTTCATTGCTATATGATTATGAACAAATCAAAATTGACGGTCAAAAACGCGTTTTCAAATAAATGGATTGTGGAGTTAGGTAGGACCCAAAAACTTACCAACACCGATTGATGTTGTCCTTTGCACCCAGCACACGCTGTCGGACACATTCTGTCAATGAAGTCAACGGCACAATGAACACATTTGGCTCTAGCACAAGATGGTAAATCTGCGATTGTGTAGGATGCCAAAAGCAGCAAAATGCTGATGGCACGTATCGTTGAAACCGACATGGGTCTGAAAAGAGACGGGAATTTCAAAAGAAAAACAAAAAAGGAATTTGTAACGGTCAAAGGGTGAAAGGGGGTGAAAGTTTTATTCGGGAAAACGAGAGATTGCGGTCTCTTCTCGTTTTCTTCCCGGATAAATGGCTTTGGGAAAACGAACGGAGCGCGAGGCGCCGCCGGAGAAAACGAAGTCGTTGAATTGAGATGGATCAGATGAAGAAGAAGAAGAAGAAGCCGTTTCTATGTATGTTTGCCTCGCCATCTTGAGGTCGTGTCTACTAGCCGATGCCTCCCTCGTTCGTGTCCCGCCGATGATGCCTCGCCATGGCGATCCAAACGCCAGAACCGGCTTCTGATTCTTTTCTTGAGGTGCGCAAGGGCTGACTGACCACCAGAAAGATGTAGGTGGTGACGAAACATTTTTAATTATCCATAGAGAAGTGGAGGCGGAGGAAAGACGGATGATCGAAAGCCGAAGGCTTGTATTGCGCCATTTTTGGAAATGAGAAAAGAAAAAAGAAGAAGAGAACATCAGGAAAGGATTAGAAATGGAAAATTGGTCAAAGAAAGTTACGAGTTATGTCATAGAAAGTATGAACAGTAGATTGGAAATTCTCTGGAAATGCGATGTAAAAATAGACAGTTTGGGAAATTTCTAGTCTATTAAAGGTGGGGGAGACATGGAAAAACATTTTCCATTCATATAAGCCTCTCGAGGAGTTGAACTTGTGGGTCCACAATTGGAAATACCACGCCGCCATCAGCTGAGCTACGGTGGAGCCAGCCGAAGCGGACGAACGTTACGCAGAGTGAACACTAACACCCACTTGAGAAAAACCGAAGAACCTACTGTCCTCATACCTATAAGTCTAAAAATATTTGGATCCGATAGCTACCAAAAATAAAACTTGGGAAATATTAGTTTTAAAGTTCAAAATCGTGTTTGGGTTACTGTAAGAAATTCTTGGTTATAACTGTAGCTACTCTACAATCTCTTTGTCGTTTCACTTTGATCTTCATTTCTAGGCTCCACCTCTTCTTCTTCTTCTTTTTCATCAATCCTAATCATATCATCTACATGTCAGACAAAAGTCCAAACACAAAAATAGTGCCAACAAAAATCCAGAATCATCATCCTCATCGGACATGTATCGCAATGGCATTGATAACCTGTTGGATTGAAGAAGAAGAAGCCGATTGGAATGAAGAAAAAAAGGAATCAATCGCCAGAAAAGGAGATGAAGGGCGAGCGAGAAAAAAAAGAGATTGAGAGTAGAAAGAAGAAAGAGAGGGAAGGATATGAAACCCGTTCCGATTCATCTGGATTGATTCTGATTCCATGATTGATCATTTTTGTGGTTGTATGATGGTTATGTGTGGGCGTGTGTGTTGATTAAAAAAAAGTGACGAAAAAATTTAGAATGAATACGTAAGGGCAAGAAGATACCGTAAAACCTGTAATAGAAGGGCCCCAACATTGGCAAGTTTGGGCTCAATTATCTCAATTCTTATGCAAGATATCAAAAATATGTCAACTGACAAAACATTCCTGATATCATGATCAACAATTTATCAGTTGACAACTTTTTTATATCTTTGATAGGAACATAGATAAATTGTCTCAAAGTTTAACGTTAGGGACTTTTCTATTAAAGGTTTTACGGTTTTTCGGGAATTTCAGGGTGGAAAGCTTATGAAGTTTAGAGAGGATCGTAAACTTTGAGATTTTAGTTTAAGATATTTGGTACCTCATAGTTAGTGGATCTGGGATATCTTGAATAGGAAAATGTTGAAGTTGGAATTATTATGAAATTCAAAAAAACTAATGTAAGATCCTCAGAACCTAGAATTCAGGAAATGGAAGGAACCCAGATGGGAAAATCCTGTTTGCCCAATCAGTCTGAACAAGAGTTTCATATCTAGAGTTTTCAAAACCTAAGTTTTTCAAAACGTAGCATTCATAAGAGCTATTAAACTTTTTAAAAGTTCAGAAGCCTGAAAAATCTACGATGCAGAAAAGAAAAGAAAGTGTTTTTGATAGTGAATCTGTAAAACTCTGGATGGAGCATTACGAAAAATGTAGATTTTTTGAGTTGCCGTGGATACAAAGGTCCAGGAGGAAGAATCGGTGTGTCCGTATGACTCGGCTTTTTGCGCAATGTAATTTAGCCATTTAGCCATCACACGCGATGTCGTCTGGTCTTTCCTTTCTACTTCTGGATCGAAAGACACGCCTTCTTCTTCTTCTTCTTCTTCTTCTTCTTCTTCTTCTTCTTCTTCTTCTTCTTCTTCTTCTTCTTCTTCTTCTTC